TTGTAAGCTGAGTCATCAGGACTTGCTGATAGGTTAGATGGTGAGAGATGATGGAAAGAGGAGTCTAGAATAATTCTAGGTTTGTGGCTTGTACAAGTGGATAGATGGCCATATTTACTGGGGGAAGTAGCATGTTTTTGAGGAGCAGGGTTGCTGTCAGGGATCAAGATTTCTACTTGAGATAGATATCTATCAATCACTCAAGTGAAGATGTCAGGGAAGTACTTGGATATAATGAGCCCAGAGTTCAGGCAGAGAGGTTGGAGCTAGAGACATAAATTCAGGAGTCAGTTGTAAATAAACAATATTTTTTAAAATATTTAACTTAACAAGGATTTATTCACAGGAATACTTGTAAGTAGAGAAAAATAACAGAAAAGCTAAACAAATGAAATGAAGAGGATCCAAACCAACTTTCACTTTGTAGCTTTTTAATTGCACCCTGTGTGCATATATCTAGGGCACAGAGGGCCACCAACATACGCCAATACAGTGTAGGAACCCTGCGTTACGTCCATTAACTTAAACATATATTTAAGATCATGCTTTGAACAAAAAAAGAAAGCTTAGAAGGCAATATGTTGAGTGGGAATAAACATTGAAATATAGCAATCATGTCTTCAACTTCTACAATTATCTTTATGTGCCAACTAACACTTAGGCAGCCTCTTACAGATCTTTTACCATGTAATTTAAGTTTTAGAAGTTTTGATAAAATCACTAGTAATATATAACCATGCAGAAACCACATCACACTGACAGCACAGAGGCAAAGATTTTGCACAGATCTATCTGCTTTCCACATTGTGCAGTTTACACACAATACAATATCAGTCTTATTCCTAACAGATCCTAAAAAAGATATTTCAAGGCCTAGCTGTAAACTACAGTACTTTATATCTATATTCTTAATAAAAATGGGTCTAGTTGGGATCTTCTAAATAGAGACTGTATATAGAATAAAAGAGGGCTAGAGACTGAACCCTGGGGTCACACAGTATTGAGAGATCAAACAAGAGAGGAGCTAGTAAAAGATTTTAAGATGGAATGACCAGTGAGGTAGGAGGAGAACCTAAAACACAAGATGTCCTGGAAACCAGGTTGAAGAATGTTTCTAGGAGGGGGCATCATCAACTGTTTGAAGGACTGCTGGGATGTTCAATGAGATGTGGGCAAGGACATGAATATTGGATTTTGGAACAAGGGGGTCGCTGATGACTTCAACAGCAGTTTCATTGAAGTGTATTTATTTTAAAAGCCAAGTACTGCTTTTCATGCTATGCTTACATATATTTTATTTATGTCATAATTTGTGCATATCTCCTGAACCTTCTTAAAGACTGAAGGTTTAGAGTTTAGAGGAGTTGCACCTTTGCAACATTTTCTTCTCTTCTTCTGCCTTGATGTTAATAAAGATGACCTGTAGAAATTTCTTGTTATTCTTGAATTTCAAGGAGTAGAAACAGTATACTTCAACTTAGTAATGGCTTTTTAATTACTTCGTGTAGAAATTTCCCATAGTTCAAGCTTAAATTATATCATTTTTTAAAGCATGCAGCACTGTATCTTCCATCAGGATGTAGTTGTTACTTTCAGTCTCCTGAGACCTTGGTACTTGGGATTCTCAGTGAAATTCTTCTTTCTTTATTTAATTGCTGTTTCATTTTTTGTCTTTTAAATTAGGACTTGTTGAATTTTGTAATTCTTTAATTTTGTAACTATAAGGTAAGTTACACTTTATTAAAGTAGAATTTTAGGGCATAACTACAATTCAGTTTGTTCTTAGGAATCTTAGTTGTGTGGATTTCATTCTATATTTGTAACTGGTTTTTGGTATGCATACTGTTTTAAAAAACTATTGTATGTTTCAGACAGAACTTGAGAATAAACTACAGCAGCAGTCAACACAAGCAGCACAGGAACTTGCAGCAGAGAAACAGAAAATATCAGTGTTACAAAATACCTATGAAAAAAGTCAGGAAAGTCTAAAACAGCTTCAGTCTGATTTCTATGGGAAGGAATCTGAACTTCTTGCCACAAGGCAAGATCTTAAGGTATAGTGAACTATATTATATGATAAAAACCAATAAGTTGTTTATAGACATTCATTAAATGATTGATTTGAACACAAATGGGCACAGGAATGTTAGTATTTGTGGAATATCATGCTTCTTTTCTGTTGAATTATTATATTTGGAGAAACATGCTTTTTAAATTGTTTTATATAACAAAATATATATGTAAATACAGGCATTTAAAAATAACATCTTTAATAGAAATAATTTGGAAATTGTTAATTGCTACATTGGCTTATCTAAGGACTTTGCTGCCTTTATATAAAAAAAATAACTTTTAAAACGGACTGCTGTTAAAAAAATCTAAGGAGTTTTTTATTTTTTTGCGGTATGCGGGCCTCCCACTGCTGTGGCGTCTCCCATTGCGGAGCACAGGCACCGGACGCGCAGGCTCAGCGGCCATGCCTCACGGGCCCAGTCGCTCCGCGGCATGTGGGATCCTCCCGGACCGGGGCACAAACCCGCGTCCCCTGCGTCGGCAGGCGGACCGCCACCAGGGAAGCCCTAAAAAAAATCTGAGGAGTTTTAAATGTAAACCACTTGTGAAAATGCAAGCAGTTTTACTGTTGCTTGTCAAACAATATTAACTTCAGTTTTATATATTAGTCAACTTCCCAAGACTACTGGAATGCATAATGATTAAAATTAGATTATAGCTCAAAGTAAACTTAACCTTAATTATCTAAACATATATGGATATTCTGTCCTCGGCAATACTGTTTGATTAAAGTATCATTTTTACTAAAATGAAGGCTATGGAAATAGGGTAAACAATTTTTATGTAGCATTAAGGTATCAATTCTCTAAGTGAAATGGAACATTTGTATTCTCTCGCAGAAGAGTTAGACATTTCTTTTTTTTTTTTTTTTTTTTTTTTTGCGGTACGCGGGCCTCTCACTGTTGTGGCGTCTCCCGTTGCGGAGCACAGGCTCCGGACACGCAGGCTCAGCGGCCATAGCTCCCGGGCCCAGCCGCTCTGCGGCACATGGGATCTTCCCGGACCGGGGCACGAACCCGTGTCCCCTGCGTTGGCAGGCAGACTCTCAACCACTGTGCCACCAGGGAAGCCCCGGCCATTTCTCTTTTTTGTCATAGTGAAATAGTATGCTTTTTGATTCTTTCCTATGTTTGGATTTTTGTTTCTTAATTTAAAATGCCTTATTGAAAAGTTCTGTTGAAAATCACAGAATATTTTTATATATAATATACATAAATATGCTATGTCACTTTATTCATAGGCTGCTATAGGGAAGGCTTTATGAAGGAGGTAGGACTTGACCAGGTCCTGAAGGATATAAGAATTTGAATACACAGACAGTCCTGAGAAAGATCAGTTCACTCAGGGGCACATTTGAGAAAAGGTGCAGCAGTGGGAACCAGCAAAGCCAGGAGGCAGTCACCATAATTGTCTTGCTAGAGTGCTGGTTTGTGTTTGGAAGTTAAAGTTAAAAAGGTTGGGATCAAACTGTGAGGTATCTTAGATGCCTAGCAAGGACGACTGACTGGACTTTATATTGGGTTGCGGGGGGGATGAAGAGTCTAAGCAGAGGAATAAAATGAAGAAGGTATAATTTAGGCAACAACCTGGAACTGGTTTATAGATAGCAGCTTGGTTTGGATCTGACGTAAACTAGTGCTGGGGAGATTAGTTAAGAGGCTATCTCCCTTCCTTCCTCCATAAACTCCAGTAATCTAGCTGTGAGCTGATTAGAACTGGAGTTAAAGAGGATGGAACAGAAGAGATTAATGGGAGAGAGAATATGAAACAAAAGGGCATTTCAAAACGTACAGGGTGCAAGGAAGTGAAGGAATCAGTGGTGACTAATGATCTGACAAACAGGAGACTGGGTAAAAGAATTTTCATAGGGCCAACAGTAGATATTATATATATATATATAGTTCACAATTAGCAAGAGTTCTTTAAAAAAAATACCACCTGACATTTAGAAAGTGTCTTACTTCCTATATTCTCTAAGTAGCTTTAAATTATTATTAGCTTTCCTTTACAATACTGTTGCAAGTCAGGGAGGGTTTGTGGAAGAGTTTGGACTTTATCCTAAAGGCAGGAGGGAACCACTGAAAGGATGTGCTCGGATTTGTATTTTAGGCCAATAAGTGGCTGCAGGAGAAGGAATGGATTGTAGGGGAACGTGGCTGAACGTTGGGATGAGAGAGGAGACTTTGTGGTAGTCCAAGTGCGGATGGTGACAGCTCGGGCTGGTAGTAGTAAGGATGCAGAATGTGCATGAATTCCAAGGACACTGAGGTGATAGAGAAGATGAAACCTAATGACTGAGTAGAAGTTCTGTAGAAATCACGTTTTTTCTTCATATGGATGTATTATTTACCCAAGAGCATAACACAGTAATAAGACTTAGATCTTTTAAATCAGTATTTTTTTCATTAAGCCAACAATTATTTTTATTATGCCCGAAAGCTACATCATGTTCTAATTTTATACACAAAAGAAAAATTCAAATGTAAACATGGGCAAGAAGAGAAAGACAGAGGGATAAGGCTGTTGTGGAGTTTAACAACTGTTGAGAGGCCATGGATAGACTCTCTCTTCAAAGCTTCCTTTTGCAGATGAAACTGAGGCCCTGCTTGATTAGTGACAGGCCTAGTGTTTGCACAATAACAGAACGATGATTGGATCTCAGCTCTTCTGATTCATAGCCCTTTTTTAAAAAAATTAATTAATTAATTTGGCTGTGTTGGGTCATCGTTGCTGTGCGTGGGCTTTTCTCTAGTTGTGGTGAGCGGGGGTACTCTTCCTTGCGATGCGCGGGCTTCTCATTGCGGCAGCTTCTCTTGTTGCGGAGCGTGGGCTCTAGGCGCTTGGGCTTCAGTAGTTGGCACACAGGCTCAGCAGTTGTGGCTCTAAGTCTCTAGAGTGCAGGCTCAGTAGTTGTGGTGCACGGGCTTAGTTGCTCTGCAGCATGTGGGATCTTCCCGGACCAGGGCTCGAACCCATGTCCTCTGCATTGGCAGGCAGATTCTTAACCACTATGCCACTGGGGAAGACCAGTAGCCCTTTATTGTTTTACCATCATTTCACTAGAATTTTTTTTATAAAATAGGATATTGACAAATATAAAATAGGATATTGAAATTTTTTAATAAAATAGGATATTGACAAATTTTTATAAAATAGGATATTGACAAAATATCCTGTTTTATTTTTTTATGAAATAGGATATTTGGACGTTAATCCTTCCAAAATGACAGGTAGCTGAACTACTTAATTTTTTAAAAAAGAAATTCCTAGGAAAGTTCAAATAATATTTATAATAGGCCAGAATAATGGATCAGCCATTCTTTTGCTTCAGTGACTATTATATGACCTTATGTATAAGAGAGAAAGGGAGACGTTCAGAACCTTGTAACATGACACGTAAGTCAAGGCTGCCATCTGTGGGCTGATAGTGTATACCAAGACACCAGTAGAATGCAAGACCAGCTGGCTTGATCTATGCCTTTAGCCCCATCTGCTGGATTATTTATGAAATACTAAAATTTGTTGACTGTATATTTCAAACTGGCTATGCTGTGTGCTATTCTTTGTTTTCCAGGAAAGGTAGAAGTGGCGTTTAACTGTAAATTTTGCACCCTCAGTGAAGTGAAAATTCTAGGATAAAAAGTTTAGAATTAAATGTAAATCTTCTTAGCCTAGTACTGTTCGTTATGTCATTTCATCAAACATCAAGAAAAAATAATAACTAAAAATTTTAAAGTTTTATTTTGAAAGAGAAAAGAGAAAAATTGTTGAACAGACCCCCCCCCCCCAAAAAAAAAACCCACCAATAGCTACCACAGAACAGTGTAGAAAATCTTTTTCTTTGCTACATTACTATAATGTGATTGGGGTATTCAGGATCAGGGTTGGTACTTGATATACTCAGAGATTTGCTTATTCCAGTAGCAGTGGGTGGGTTAAAGATAGCCCCAGTAAACCATCTAATGGAAGAGGGAGTTCTCCAAGGGAAAAGATGCTGAGCAGATGAAAATAATATAGTCTGAAGCAAGAAAGATAAAAGGAAAATTTGAAACGGCAGTATACTGCTGAATGACATAGATGAATATTCAGAGGCAAGGTAGAACAACATGTCTTGGCTCAGAAAATAGTGCAGATTTTGAACTTGACTTTAAAGATTTAGTCACTAGGATTTTGTGAGTTCAGAATTTTATAGGCTGTTATTTAAACCATGGGCATTTTGGAATTCTGTGGTCAGAGATTGGGGGTGTTCTTGCTTTTAGGCTCTAGCAAGTGTTGGTATTCTTTAGCATTAGATCAGGACCTCTGTTACCGAATTACAATTGCTATAGACAGCATGGGCTAGGCTTTGTCAAATTTTATTCTTTTTCTATGAAATCACTCTCACCTTTTGTGATACTTAGGTCAGTTCCGACATGCCCACAAAGCCTTCTTTAAACATTCCACAGAGAATACACTCACACTCGTTTTTCTGTGCATTTGGCACATAGCAAATGCTCTAATACCCTGTACAACTTCCATTTTATACCCTGGTTCTGTTTTCCAGGCTATATGGTCAGCTTCTTTAAGTCCAGGACCATCTTTTACCCTCCTGTCTACCTTAGTAGTATACTCAATTAAAGCTTAGCTGCTTGATTAGTAAAGGACTAGATGACTTTAAGTCTTTTCCAAAAAGGAAGTCTTACAGTTTTTAGTGTTCTACTGGAAACTATTGAAAATGGAAATTTGATTTATATCAGAAAAGACTTCTGAACCGGGTTATTTGTAAGGAATAATCTCTTTCAGGAAGCTTAAGTAAAGCCCTTTAAATAAGGTTTTCATTTATTCATTTATTTTTCATCGATTCTTTATCAAATGCTTACTGTAGCCAAGCCTAGATAGCAGTGATTCCTCCTGAATTGTATCTTCTGCCTTTTTTTCCAAAGAAACTGTATCTCCAGAATAAGAAAGATAAACAACTTCTAGATGGTGGAAGAGCATCTTAGAGTTATTTCCCTTAGCAGCTGAGAGTGGCAAGGTTCCTGCCATTTTCCATTCCCCACCTGTTACCATATCCACCTCCAAATCAAAACCTAATGAGTCAAAAAGTTGCTGTTTCCCCCAGCTTCAGCTTCTTGAAATATTTGGGCCTTCGAACAGTTAGTAACTATGGACTGTGTTAACTGACAGAGCTACTTCTACCACACAGATGAGAAGTTAAGAGGATGGGGGTGATGGCCTTGTTAGAAGTAGAGCCTCAGATGTCTGGTTGACTTTACTCTTTTAGTTCACTTAATCAGGTTGGCAGATTAGAAATACATTTTTTCCCCCAAGACAAAAATCCCTTTCTATTTATTAAATAAACCTTTTAGCGTGTCAAGGGCCATCATAGATCCTACAAAACATGTATGCATATATGTCACGTTTAACTATCTTTTTAAATTGCTTTCTTCCCATGTCTCCCCATATCTTCTCATTATGTATATGTTCTCTGAGTGTGTTTGATATGGTTCCTACTTATTTGATATTCTTCGTATCACTTAGCTAGTAAATACAGATTATTTCTAAAGCTTTGGAATTGCTTCCGTTTTATTATTTTATACTTGCCTACGGAAAATACTACAAGTATTTTGCATAGGCAAGAGAGTTAGTTATCTAGCATTCTTTCTCTTTTACATCATCTTACTGAAGGGCATAACATACTATTTTTTTTAATTTAACTTTTTTAACATCTTTATTGGAGTTATAATTGCTTTACAATGTTGTGTTAGTTTCTGCTGTATAACAAAGTGAATCAGCTATACATATATCCCCATATCTCCTCCCTCTTGCGTCTCCCTCCCACCCTCCCTATCCCCCCCACTAGGTGGTCACAAAGCACCGACCTGATCTCCCTGTGCTATGTGGCTGCTTCCCACTAACTATCAATTTTACATTTGGTAGTGTATATATGTCCATGCCACTCTCTCACTTTGTCCCAGCTTACCCTTCCCCCTCCCCATATCCTCAAGTCCATTCTCTATGTCTGCGTCTTTATTCCTGTCCTGCCCCTAGGTTCATCAGAACTATTTTTTTTAGATGCCATATATATGTGTTAGCATACGGTATTTGTTTTTCTCTTTTTGACTTCACTTTGTATGACAGACTCTAGGTCCATCCACCTCACTAATAACTCAATTTTGTTTCTTTTTATGGCTGAGTAATACTCCATTGTATATATGTACCACATCTTCTTTATCCATTCATCTGTCGATGGACACTTAGGTTGCTTCCATGTCCTGGCTATCCTAAACAGTCTTGCAATGAACATTGTGGTACATGTCTCTTTTTGAATTATGGTTTTCTCAGGGTATATGCCCAGTAGTGGGATTGCTGGGTCATATGGTAGTTCTGTTTTTTTAAGGACCTCCATACTGTTCTCCATAGTGGCTGTATCAATTTACATTCCCACCAACAGTGCAAGGGGGTTCCCTTTTCTCCACACCCTCTCCAGCATTTATTGTTTGTAGATTTTATGATGATGGCCATTCTGACTGGTGTGAGGTGATACCTCATTGTAGTTCTGATTTGCATTTCTCTAATGATTAGTGGTGTTGAGCATCCTTTCATGTGTTTATTGGCAATCTGTATATCTTTGGAGAAATGTCTGTTTAGGTCTTCTGCCCATTTACTATCTTTTTAAAGTATATTACTTTCCACTATGCTATGCATAACTTATGTATAACTGTTAACTATTATGTTTCTGTTGAAATTTGCCAAAAAATGACATAATAATTTGGGGAAATTGTTTTTATAAGTCTGTAGAAGAGAAGCTTTCTCTAGCACAGGAGGACTTGATTTCAAATAGAAATCAAATTGGAAACCAAAATAAATTGATTCAAGAACTGAAGACCACCAAGGCTACTTTGGAGCAAGATTTAGCAAAGAAAGAACAGCAATTGAAGGAGCAGAGTAAAGCACTACAGGATATACAGAAAGAAAAGGTATTTTATTTTCTGACTAAATCTAGAATCTTAGTATTTAAAATTAAGAACCAGCTTTTTCTAAAGGTAAGTAGGGGTGTATTTTATATAAATGATGCTAAGTTATAAAGTTGAAAGCATTGTATTATGACCAGTACGTTTAAAGATCAGTTAAAATTTTATATGAATGAGAAATTCAAATTCTAGGAAACAGTTTTTGGTTTCATAATTGAAATTTTATATTTCCATCAGCTGATATTATTCTGAAGTGTACAGTTCCTGAAGTTCTTGGTATATTTTATTTGTGCAGTTCCTGAATTATGTGTTTTTTTATTTTTTGCTGCACTGTGTGGCTTGTGGGATCTTAGTGCTCTGACCAAGGATCAAACCCAGGCCCTTGCCAGTGAGAGCACAGAGTTCTAACCACTGGACCGCCAGGGAATTACCTCTGAATTATTTTTAAAAATTGGTGGATGTTTTTGTAGTGATGGTGCTGGTGAGGCTGGCATGAAATTTATGATTTGTGCCTCAAGGTTAGAAAATTCTGACAGAACTATAGTTTAGAGGCCTTTAATTACAAGGGTTTTAGATCAGGCAGATCTTGTTTTAGTTTTATGGTTCTACTTTTAATAGCTTATTTAACTGCTCTAAGTCTTTGTTCCTTTACCTATAAAATGATTAAAAAGAGCTACCTGGCATAGAGATTAGATAATATATACTCCTACTCCCTAGGCGCCCTATATAAAGATAGTGATGATGATAATAAGCATAAGATGGTAGTTTTAGCTAAACTTTAGCCAGGCACTATTAATTTTAATAGTTACTGTAACTATTTAATCCTTATAATGATCTTTTTGTTCATATTGTATAAATAAGGACACAGAGGCAAGAGAAGGTAAATAATTTGCTCAAGTTAACTAAGGTGGAAGGGGCAGAGACAGTCATAAATAGTAGCAGTCATTTTTGTTACATTTTAAGTATTTACTTTAAAACTTTTTTAATAAATCATTTTTTCTATAGTCACTGAAAGAAAAAGAACTAGTAAATGAAAAATGTAAATTGGCAGAGATAGAGGAAATTAAGTGTAGACAAGAAAAAGAAATTGCTAAATTGAGTGAAGAACTCAAGTCTCACAAGCAAGAAAGCATAAAGGTATGTGAAGATAATCATTGTTTTTCCTTTTGTGTTGTATTAGTGTTGTTAAAAAGATTTGTGTATATATATTTATTTTATTTATTTATTTAAGGACATACTATGTGCCAGGCACATTGTTTTGCTGTTTTTTGACAAATACTCTCGCTCTCACAGTGCTCGTGTTGCATAATATCTATACACATATTGAAATTATGTTACCTTTGTTTTCAAATTACTGAATAAAGCAAAGTAACCCTAAAAGTTTAGATTTTATTGAGGTGATAATCGACAGAGCTATCCGTTATGCTTACAGATAGTAAACTTCAAAATATGTAAGAGTTTAGAATTAAGATTTTAAGGGATTGTTTTTTAATCGTTTTTCTTCCTAAAATCCTTTAATAATCTGTTGTTTAGAACATTTTTCCTATCATTAGCATGACTGGCATGCCACCTGAAAAAATTAACTGCTTATAATTTGCTTTGTAAAGTGTTTGTAAAATGTCATTTTCTTAGAGAAAGGTTGGATTTTCCCTTGAGTGCTCTCATAATACCTCTTATGTCTATCAGTATACTTGCCATTTTGCTTTATAATTACTTACCTCTTTATGTCATTATGTTCTTCCAGACTGTGACTTCCTTAAAGCAGGGAATGTATATAATTCATCTTTATATATATATCCCTAGAACGTGACACAGTGTGTGATGCCTAAATGTTGAACCAATAAATGCTTCCTAAATGAAGAAAGGGAAAATAAGGTGTAGAAAAATTTTCACATAATTTAATCAAAACATATGCATGCAAAGCATCACTTGAATTTAAATGATTGTTGAGGAGGAAGTACATAATATTTCACCTTTTTAATCAACTGTTTGAAATACTGAACTTTAAGACTCTTGTAAGAGGCTAAAACTCTTTGTTTATATTGTAATAAGTTGCATAAATTTCAGCTACATTTTTTTTTTTACTATAAAGGATGGTTTATTTTGGCCTCACTTTCTCATAGGAGGTAACAAATCTCAAGGATGCCAAACAGCTTTTGATTCAGCAGAAATTAGAGCTTCAAGGGAAAGTAGATTCCCTAAAGGCAACCCTTGAACAGGAGAAGAAAGCCCAGCAAATGCTAAAAGAGCAGATGAAAAAGGAAGAAGATGAGCTGAAGAAAGAATTTATGGAGAAGGAAGCTAAACTGGTAAGTTAGTGGTGGGAGGTGTGTTTTTTAATTGATTTTGTAAATTAATCCAGTAAGAGAGGGTTTTTCTACTTAAAAATTATGATTCAAATGCTCACCTAACATTTAATTTTTGATTTAAGACAAGAGATCTGATTTGTCTAAATAGCTGACATGTGATTGGAAATATTTTATTCTGTGATTATATTTTGGTTTATATAAGTGAAAATTCAATAAAACATGATGGGGGGGCACTTTTAGTGCCAGAAAAACAAACAAACCTATAACTATGTAGATTGAGGTAAATGGCATGAATGCTAATCATGTTAAACTCATTTGTTTGGTCAAACTGAATGTTGATAAGGGGGAACGGAAACTTCAGTTTGGAATTACAATGACCAAAGTCTACTTTTCCTTCCCTAACTTGTGCATGCCAAATGGGAAGCATCTGGCTTTCCTCTGTTGAATTAAGTCCAGATATCCCCAGATAAATTGACTGCTGAATGTTTTCATTGAAGAACTGCAATTTCAAGTTCACACAGTGATTTGAAGTTCTGTTTTTTTGGCAGGTTGATAGAGACAAAAGGATGCATTTGGAATTTGAGACATAAGAAAATGCCAGCTCTATCTCCAGGGCACCTTGCTATCCCTAACTATGTGTTCTTCCCCTGTTCTAGTGGAAAAAAGGAAAATCTCAAATTGCTTTACTTTAGTTTGATCTTATAAGAGGCTTGCTGACCACCATTTCAATGTTATGACCATTGTCAGTTCAAACTACACAGATGTTTGTGGAATCAGTTTTATCAGTGCCTTCTTCCCTGAAGAAGTTATTATTTATGTTGCCAATATTTAAAGTTCAGCAACTAACTTAAATTTTGCACTACTTTTGTAATAGGTTTTTTACCCACTGTTTTTCCTTTTCTCAGCTTTCCGAAATAAAAGAAAAAGAAGTAGGAATGAAGCAGCATGAAGAAAATGAGACTAAACTTACCATGCAGATTACAGCATTAAATGAAAACTTGGGCACCATAAAGAAGGAGTGGCAGTCCAGTCAACGGAGAGTCAGTGAGCTTGAGAAACAGACGGACGACTTACGGGGTGAAATTGCAGTATTGGAAGCAACGGTTCAAAATAATCAAGATGAAAGGAGGGCTCTACTAGAAAGGTGGTTGATGTCTATTAAAATTAGTTTATTTCCATGCTAAGTGATAAAAAGGTTGTTGTACTCCACATTTAAAAAAATAGAAGTCTTGAGAAAAGTGCTCCTGCAGGTATTTAAGTAGCCATTTAAAAATTAACCCTTACAACAGAGTTGAAATTAATGTATTATGTTTAAAGTTACTAAAGTAGTTCATTATCTGTGTTCAGAGAGGGTCTTTAATGATTTTTTAAAAATGAATTGTTTTTGCAATCTATTTCAGGTGTCTTAAAGGAGAAGGTGAAATAGAAAAGCTTCAAACCAAAGTACTAGAATTGCAAAGAAAGCTGGATAATACAACTGCAGCAGTGCAGGAACTGGGCAGAGAGAATCAGTCCCTTCAAGTGAGTCACCTGGTGTATGAGGCAGTTTTTTAGTCTAGAATTTACCTCTTAGTGAAAAGCATATTTTCAGCATTTAAAAAAAATCTCATATTTAATAATACTTTTGAATGGCTACTGCCTGTGTAGCAGTATTGCGGGTGTTACAGGTAATTAAATATAAGATTTAAAGAACTTATCTGAGACCCCAATGATTAGAGAGCCACATCATTCATGAATTGTCATTATTGGGAAGAGCACAAAGGAATGAATGAGTTGCTATGTGATAAAGAAGTGATCTGATTATATGCTCAGAGTTCCAAGGAAGGATTGATCCTTAGGGTTAGAATGAATGGGAAATCACCAAAGGTTAGAAATTACCAATGCCTTTGAGGTATAAAACTTGCTTTGCTTTATTTATTTATTGTCATTCAGACTTAATTATGTAACAACTTTTGATAATGGGAGTTGACCAAAGTATTTCTGATTTTTAAAATTTTATCCATTTTAAAACTTGGCCACCAACTTAGAAATTATCATTCTTTACAGCACTGAACATTATAATGTATTTTTTTTTTGAATAGATCAAACATACACAAGCGTTGAATAGAAAGTGGGCTGAAGACAATGAAGTACAAAACTGTATGGCCTGTGGGAAAGGCTTTTCAGTAACCGTGAGACGGGTAAATGGTTTTGTTATATTGCTGTGGTTCTTGATTTTATTTCTCAGTGACAATGTTTTAACCATCGAAATTGTCCTGCATTTGACAGATTTTAAAAGTTTTGCCATTTATTAACTTTAATTTACAACTACATAGAATTAAGTTTCATGAAATCTTGTTTCTGGTTAGTGTGTTTCTATTTTAGTTTTAAATTCAGTTATTACCTTCCTACTGAGTTACTCTCTTGGATAATCATTTTCTGAACCAGTGCATCAGTATTAAACTCATGTTTTAGTCATCATAGGGTTCTCTTAAAGGAAAAAAAGCAGAGATAAAAAAATCATTTTAGGGCTTCCCTGGTGGCGCAGTGGTTGAGAGTCCGCCTGCCAATGCAGGGGACATGGGTTCGTGCCCCGGTCCGGGAAGATCCCACATACCGCGGAGTGGCTGGGCCCATGAGCCATGGCCGCTGAGCCTAAGCGTCCGGAGCCTGTGCTCCGCAACGGGAGAGGCCACAACAGTGAGAAGCACACGAACCGCAAAAAAAAAAAAAAAAAAAAAAAAAAAATCATTTTAAATAATGCCATTATGTGATGTTTCAAGTTTATATTCCTATTGAAGAAATTATGCCTGAAACATTTTGTAAATAGGAATAATTTTCACCTGATAGAAGTGCTTTATTAAGCACTTTATTAAGGCATTAAAATGCCTCCTAAGGTTCTTCTGAGAATTCCAAGATAAATTCCATATTAAATGTTTAGTACAGCATCTGATTAAATAGGAAGCATTCCAATTAACTAAGGGATTAAATCGACATACTGAGATTTTATATTATTAAATGCTAATCACTTGAAAGTTAGTATACCTTCACAGTGAAGTTTGCTGTATTCTTGTAGTCTCATAATACTTTTGGTAGTTTTTATGCTTAAAAATGTTTAATTTTTGTCATTTACAGCATCACTGCAGACAATGTGGAAATATCTTCTGTGCTGAGTGTTCAGCCAAAAATGCCTTAACTCCTTCTTCCAAGAAGCCTGTTCGTGTCTGTGATGCATGTTTCAATGACTTGCAAGGATAATGGGTTATCACAACTTCAGAGTAATATTACACTAACATTAGATTTTTAATAATACACTTAATAGATATCTTGGACTACTACTATTCGGTTTGGACAGTGGTTGCAATACTAAACCAAATTAGAATTCATATATTTTGGAATGTTATCAAGTAAAACTCTTCTATTTTTGTGAGACTCGAGCCCATCTTTCATTACTTTTTTCCATTTACCCTGGAATAGCTTTCATGCCAAGTTTAGAAGTAGCCAATGAAATGTAAATAAATTTTGGATGGAAATGAATTTTGGACGGAAAATAGCAATGTATTTTTTTAAATATAATTTCATTGTTCAGAAATGACATGAATGCACTTCCATAGCTTACTTCTTTCTCCCACATTTAGTATCAAGAAATGTACATGGGTGATGTTACCATATCAGCTGTGTTGCACAATAACACATTATATTAAATATTCTCATTGTGAAATGCATAGAACTATAAAGCTTTTTTTCCCTTATACACAGGTCCATAGCTCAGTTGCATTGTTATGTTACAAATTTACTACTCAAGTGTTCCAAATACAGATTATATTTAAATATTAACTATGAATTCAAACATGGTTTTTATTTTAACAATACTGATTAAATTCTCTTGGGTGGATTTTATGAAAACCTCTGGAAAATTATTTTATGGTTATCCTCGGGTTGTATTTTAAAGATCAGGGTTAATTTTTCTTTTTGTCTTTTTCTATCTCATTTTTAAACTCCCACGTAGTCTTAAGAATCCTACAAAACTTCCCACCCTCATCCCCAGTTGGAAGGTGAATAATAGAAGTTGTATAATGCTTGTATTCTCTGTTTAAGTGGGAAGTCGTCTGAGATTAGCCTTCATTTTATATCCTCATTTTGTCTCTCCAGCATCTTCAAGAATCTGAATTTGCTTTTTTAATGGATCTGTTTTTTCAAGGTAATTTGGTTTAACCTTCTCAAGCATAGCTCAGCTTCACTGTAATTGTTTTATAGATTTTGCATCTTAAAGCTAGTAACTGATATTGCTATAGTCTTATCTGTGAAAACAAATACAAAATGGTAAGGAGACATTAAATATTCTGCTTTATATTTTCTGCTTTATATTCTCTTCTTACCTAATAGGGAAGAAATTTTTTAAGTTTTAAATTTGACTTAAATTTTAAAAGGTTCTGAATTTGGGGTTCCATATCAACTGTGTATCTGTTTACTCTGCAAAAATAATGCTATGAAATTACCTTGAAATAACAGTTGGATAATAGAGTATCGCCAAAAACAGATGTATTTAGGAATCCCCAAATTATAACTAGAACTGAAACAGACTGGCAAATTGAGGGTAATTAAAAATTAGCTTATTTGGATGCTGAACAATGGAATTGAACTTTATCAGTCTTATTAATTTGGAAAATTGGAGAACATCTGAAGAGAGAACTCATTAATATTGGTTTATTACTCTGAAGAAAGTAAAGCTATATATTCATTCAGTGCAATCATTTGGTAATAGGGAAGGATGGGAGCTAATATTTCATTTATAATACATAGTTTATAATGTACACTTGCTTTCAAATATCATGCTGAAATTATGTTTATGCTCTTCCTATAATGTATACAAACAAAGAGATTGCCATATATTCATTTAATTATTTAAAAAACCCATTTAAGTAAACTCTGTTGTCAGTAGCTACTAAGGACCCTGATTGAGTCCCTGGACTCAAATAAACATATATCCTTGAGCGTATAGAATGAAGAAATACAGTGGATCTTTATTAAAAATAAGTTGGATAATAAAAATTGAGCTAAAATTATTTATGCATTTTCATATAAATTCTTTCAAATAGTCTTAATTCTGTACTTATAAGTAAATTAATAAGCATGTTGGAAAAACATTCACAGCACTATTGTTATTATTTTTTTATGATATGAAACTTCACGGGAATTCTTCTGGCTTAGAATATTTGTTCACTCATCTCCCAGTTGGGTGCACTGAAGGCCTATCCCTGTCTTGTCCCCCCACCCACATATTCATAAAAAATTGTGGGGACAACAAATATAACCATATGTATTTGAGTGATTTTCTACTCTTCATCTAGCTAATCTCACTTCCTAGGCCCCAAATAATTAGGCTATTATATTTAGAAATGAAACAATATTTTGCTATTAATCTCACCAATAAGGTGTTTTGGAAACAAAAATTAAAGGGTTTTCTGATTCTTTTAATTAAAAAGTCATCTTCTGAGTGCTTACTGGTTCGACATTTTAGATGTCTGCTGGTACTATTTGTCAGTGATTTAGAGCTGGCACGTATGGAGTCCCAGCTCTAATGCAAAGCCTATTGGCATCACCTGTTAGTAAATTCTAAACCCAAGCACAGAAATGTGAGTTAAAATCAAGTCTTGCTGGGTTAGTGTACAATAAACTACACCTACACCTACAGAATTTTTAGTAGAAAGAAGACAAAGCTGCTGGTATAGGATTTGTTTATTTTGAAGAAAAGAGGGAAACAAACACAACAACCTCAATGCAGTGTGTAATTTTGTTCAACTACCTCTTAATGTGGAATTAGCTAGTTTAATAGTTTCTTCATAGTAGTGTTACATAGTAACTGCCAAATTTGTTAGTTCCCCATCTCTCTTGAAGAGGCTTTATGATTATTTTATAGTTTTGGGAACTTAAAAGCCACTTTTTTTTAACCTTGCATTTGCATAAAGATGTTTAGCTTTTAAGTGGAAAGCAAATTATGATCATATATTTTGATATTCATGACCTATTTGACTACAGCAGTTTTTTTTAAATGCACTTTGGCTATGAAACCATGGATGATTTGATCCACAAAATTTAAACGTGCCATCAATTTAGTATTCCTAGACAAGAGCTTGATGAATGGTATTCTGTAATTATATAATGTACCACACATTATTGTCTTAATTGCCCTTTGCCTGAATTTTAATGATCAGTTATTGTTGCAAATGTGAATACTGTGCATAAACTTACTAAATTTATGTAAAATTGTATAAAGCAGAATTGGAAATAGCTAGGTCCTCTCCCTGTAGAAGTAGTGAATTTACTGTAACATGATGCAGTTATGTATATGACATTCTGTACTTCTTGAACTGGATCATATATTCAAAACTTCTGTAGATACTTTTGCATGAATATTTTGTTTAGTTTTTGGATTCATTGTGTTGTTTACTACTTGTGATCATGTAGTTGTGCCTTATTTGTGAGAGAGTTTAGCTCAGTAAATACTGTGGTTTCTAAACTCAGTGAGTGGAAGGTTATTGATTATAAATGTAACTGATAAATTATATAACATTTGAATCTGTATAAAGAACAATGGAAGAATCCTTTATTGAATTGTTGCTTTTTTAAAAAATATGCTAAAGATATTAAAAAATAATTTCTAGTATATTCTGTGACTAAATTATTTTGTCTATTTAAAAAATTAGCCATTTTACATTAATTTATTTACAGATTTAGAACTTTGCACTTGGATATAGACAATGGGTGTGCTTTATTATTTTAAATTAATTTTTATTGGAGTATAGTTGCTTTACAATGTTGTGTTAGTTTCTAGTGTACAGCAAAGTGAATCAGCTATACGTATACATATATCCCTTTTTGGATTTTCTTCCCATTTAGGTCACCACAGAGCACTGAATAGAGTTCCCTGTGCTATACAGTAGGTTCTCAGTTATCTATTTTATAGATAGTATTAATAGTGTATATATATATGTCAAGCCCAACCTCACAATGGGTGTGCTTTAATGTTCAACTAAGAATAGTAATTAAGTTCATATTTCAAGAGAAATTACTAATGCTATTTTGCTCGAGACAGCCCCTTTTCATTTCATTCATTATTGAGAAAAATAACAAAACTAAAAAATATTAAACAATATTAATCTCTTCTTTCATTGTACATTTAATACCCAGGTGACCATTTAAAGGCTCAATGTACCATTGCTTTTTACTGATTTTTTTTTTTCCCCTGGGAACCAAAGTTCCAGAAGGGATTTTTCATTTTACTCTGTGTTTCCCTCTGAAGACAATAACATGTATATCCTCAAGCACTTAATATATTATATATTAGATATGCTCTTTTGTGAGCTTTATAGAATTTCACTTTAAATACATAGTATATTCTTTTAAGTTTTATCTTATTGTGGTAAGAACAGTTAACATGAGATCTACCCTCTTGACAACTCTTGTAAAAGTGTACAGTACAGCAGATCTCCCGAGCTTACTCATTTTGCTTAACTGAAACTTTATGCCCATTGATTAGTAACTCCCCATTTCCCCCTACCCCCAGCCTCTGGCAACTACCATTCCACTCTTTTTGATTCTATGAATTTGAGTATTTTAGAAATCTCATATAAGTGGAATCATGCAGTATTTGTCTTTCTGTGACTGACTTATTTCCCTTAGCATAATGTCCTCAAGGTTCATCTATGTTGTTTCATATTGCAGAAGTTCCTTCTTTTTCAAGGCTGAATAGAATTCCATTGTATGTACGTACCAGAGTTTCTTTATCCACTCATCTGTTGGTGAACATTAAGGTTTTTTCCATATCTTGGCTATTGTGACTAGTGCTGCAGTGAACACAGAAGTGCTAATATTTCTTTGTAAAAGCTGTTTTACATCTTAACTAATTAAATTTACATGTTAATTTAGTCAGTCTTTTTCTTCCTTTAATGAGATTTAAGGGAGAAAATAGTTTTATACATATAAACAAATATATGTTTACTGGACTCAGACTAAAAGGAATCTTGGGAGATCACCTAGTCCATTGCCCTTTTCCTAAGTTGGCTGATATCTAGAAATCCTTGCAAGAAATTGTTAACTTTTTTCTAAAAAAGTACATATTTTTCATCTCTAAGAACTCACTTGAAATTTGTTCTCCTGTACTTTGCCTTTTTTTTCTCATTTATTCTTAGGCTTTGACCATAGTTACTGCCTTCCTGATTTTCCTTTCATTTTCACTTACTCCTAATAAATATGACATTATTATACATGGGCTGTGACCCTCCATTCTAATGGTGCTTGGCCCTTGAAAATAACTGTTATGCTGCACTTGTCTATACTGCCTGGTTTACATGGTGAAATCACATTTTTCTCAAAGAATTAACTGTGCATGTGACTTCCCCAAGCATCATCCTTCCTATCCCATTCTCCAGCTTAAGGAGATCAGTTAAGGTATAATTTGTCTTGCAGTCCAAGTTGATAAATTTACTACTTCCATTTTGGAAACTGCAAAAGGTACCATGTCTGAAATTGAAATCTGTGGATTTCCTTTTGATATAATCTGACTATAAGAACTAGTTCCTTACATGTAGTTAATAGTATATTCCACCATGATAATAGTTCAAGCTCTCTTTCTTAAGAAATTCTAATGATGTTTCAAGTCCTGCCAAATAAGACGAAGTAACTGTACTGTGCCCCTTTCTCTCTCTCTCTCTCTCTCTCTCTCACACACACACACACACACACACACACACACACACACACACACACACACACACACACACACACACACACACACACACACTCTCAAAACCAGAAAGAAGTTTTATGACAAACTCCACTGTTCTTCAAAAAGTGAGATTTAGAGAAAGATATCCTACTATTTCTATGAAATTTCCCAAGTAAAACTGTTAACTGGTGAAACTGGAACAGATATTTGCTTTTTCTTTCTTAAAACAATGGAATTTAGTCTTTGGGATTTTCTCCTTCCATGTTAAGAGTTATATAAAGTATACCTGAGATAAATAAACTGTTGGAGACTAGGAATTTAAAAACTGCTACTAAGATGGAGACCTTATTATTCATTGCTTAGTATGTTAAAAGAGCAATCAAGCTTTGTATGAGGTAGGACTGTAGAGCAGTAAGGCTGATTTATAAGTCATGTAGGAAACTTGGTTTCATTACAGATACACACAAAGTAAGATGCTAGAATTCATATCAGATGCAAGCAGTGGGCATTGTTTTCCTCCTGATACTGCATTTACCTGATCATTCACCTTTTACGAATTATAATAGCATCATACTTCCCTCACCCCTCTTGCAAGCCTGACTGAAGCATTATAACGTAGTCTGGATATCAGCATGTATACACTTACCAAGAAATTCCTTCTGGTTCAAATTTGTTGCAGCCATTATTACTCTACGCTGAGGAATTTCCTAGCTTAAATTCTGGAACTTCTTTAAAATGCACATTTTCTTTTAGCTCATCACTAGGTAAGTGTTACAAGTTTGAATGAAAGAATACCTTAATCCCCAACGTGTAAAAAGGTGTGCCACTTGTTTTGGGTCCTTAAATTTCCGAGGATTCTGCAGGCAAAGTGAATATGGACATCATCTTGGTTTCCTGACTCTCGGTGAAGCAAGAGATTGCTGCTGTTAATTGTGCAATCCATGTTTTCTGTTAAGAAAGAAAAAATATATAGAGAGAAGAAAATGTTAAATTTCTCACATATTTGGATTAATATTTTCCTTTGTATTTGTTGACTTGCTCTTTAAAACTGAAGACTGATGAAACATTTGCCTATGTTTCCCATTTTCTTTCTTAAATCGAATATATCATAAATACCTGTAATCACATATGAAAATGCAAATGGATTAGATGAATATGGTATGCAAGCTGGATAAACAATTGTGAGGAATCAAGAAACCATAATAGTCAATGACGACTACTTACAAAGATGAATACTGGGAATATAAGTAGTTTGAAAGCTGAATTTCTTGAATTTCCACTTTGTGTAGAAACAGAAGTTCTTAATCAGTGGCATAACTTGAAAAACAGACTGAGGGAGGAAACTGACTCCTTGAAAATAATGTAGTCTTCCATTAATTGTCTGGCCACATTGCTGCCCTGATGAAAGCCTACCAGGGGAAAGACAAAAATGGAAACTTCTAAGATAAAGAAACCAGAGTCAGATAGGCAGCTGCTCTTCAGCTCCATAGCTGTAAAAACAGTAGCATAGTTTCAAAGGGTGAAAAGAAGACTTGACACAGTTCATTTCTGCAGGAGCCCCTCACTTAAGCTGGCATCATACTGTGTGCATACTGGGGCTTTGGAAATTGATCGGAGCATCTTAAAAATCCAGCACGCAATCCAAAGCAGTTCTTCCCTCATTTCCTACAGACCTCCCAGAAGTCAGAGGCAGCTCTTGAGCTTCTGCCACAGGAAAAAATGAGGGAGGCTGTGTCCACACTGGGGATGTAAGAAGATGGTCAGTTCTGAGGTTTCTGAGCCTGGTATGGTCTAGATATTCATATCCTTCCCCTCCTTCCAACCTCCCCCCTTCCCAAAGCAGGAGAGGAAAATACACAAAACTTTCCATTCACTGTTCCTTAATGAGCTTGGGGTGAGATTTTTTTCCTTAAGTCTGAAGAATCAAAACCTACAAAATTGAAATACATACCTTGATGTTTTCTGTTTGGGCTTGTAATAAGAATGCTGCTATACACTGTTGATAGCTGTTTTCATGTTGTATGAGGAAAGAGTTTCTCAGCCCAAAGACTAGAAAAAGATTAAAGACAAAAAGCCAAAGCATTTAATATGAAATCCAGTTCCTCAATACAAGAACCTGGATTTCTGTTTGTTTATTAATGAGTGTGGGAGGTTTATGTCGATTAAAAAAGAATCTGATTGCAAGACCAAGACTTTACTGCTATGTCCAAAGAGAGACCACTTAAATATGAAAACCTTTTCTTCCTTAGCCAATGACTTCTGGGGCCTGAGGAAATGCATTTATGGCTTAAGTGATGGAAAATGTGTTCCTTCCCAAGGAAAAAGCTTAGCATAATAGGTAGATTTTGTGTGTGTAAAATATAGATAATACAAATATGAAAAATAATACAATCACTGTTTCTTTGACCTCCACCACTCCTTTTAAAAATGTTTTATTTTTGTACTTAAAGGGAAGTCACATCAAAACAACAGTTAAACAAGTTAAGATGTAGCAAAAATACAAAACCACCTGAATGCTTCACAGCAGTCCAAGAAAAGCCAAAAAAATGGACTCAAATAAAATCCAACATCCACCAAATTACGTGAAATGTAAAACAAAACAAAAAATGTTGGCATGGTTTCTGTGTTTGAAAAGAAACAGTCTATTCTGTCATTTCCTAGCTGGTCTCTTAAAGAAGTGATAGGAGATACTGGGAGAGCAGATTTTCCTCTTTTTATACAGCTGGAGCTCTTAAAATGAAAGCTTCTTCCTTGAATTATTTATACAGCACCAGGAATAAAATTTTGCAGCCTATACATTCTTTCTACAGTCAATTTATGTTCAGGAACAAACAAAACCAAACCAGGGCTGGCTCTGGGTCAAAACAAGTACTTCAGAGAGGAGGAGGAGAACACTGACTCTTCCTGGATGACCATTAAGCTGATGCTTGCTCACAGTCATTATTTCTGTTCCTTGAAGTTTGTGTTTTGTTTTGTTTTGTTTTTGCGGTACACAGGCTCCCGTTGCGGAGCACAGGCTCCGGACATGCAGGCCCAGCGGCCATGGCTCACGGGCCTAGCCGCTCCGCGGCATGTGAGATCTTCCCAAACTGGGGCACGAACCCGTGTCGCCTGCATCGGCAGGCGGACTCTCAACCACTGCGCCACCAGGGAAGCCCAGTTTGTGGGTTTAATTCAGACTCACTGAGGCAAGTTGGGCCTCATTTCAGAAACAAAGCAAATGTGAGACTTTTATTTTCTTAACTGCAAGAACTACTTCACTATTACAGATTGTAATAGACTAAACCTCATAATTCCTAAATTCTACCACAACAAAGCCTGTCAAGGTCATGAAATTCTGTCCAGCTTCTCTGGGGTGAGAGGACTTAAACCTATTAAAATGACTTTCTGGAAAAAAGATCTGGCTGTTTTTGTTTTACTCCCTGATTTTTCTCTTTATAAATTCCCTATAGTAAGTGAGGCTTTAAAGATCAGGTTGTTGTTCTTGGCTGGATTTCAGATTCCATGTTCCTCAAAATTGTAACTGTAGTTCTCAATTATTTAAGGTATCCCTCATCTGTTTAGTTTGTAATATGGCTACTAAGGACTTAATAAACAAAAGGACCTGGTATGGCTAGGCTTAGAAAATAAAATAAGGAGATAATAAATGGTCAGGAATAGCTTTTTTCTCTCTGATGTTCTAATATAATGATTAACAATTAATAGTTGACATCATTTATTCAGCACCTACTATGTACTAGGCACAGTGCTATGTATTTTTTTCCTTTTTGTGTCATTAACACCACACAGCAACTGTATAAGATAGGTCAACTAACTCCAAATAGCCAAAACAATCTTAAGAAAGAAGAATGGAGCTGGGATCACACTCCCTGACTTCAGACTATACTGCAAAGCTGCAGTAATCAAAACAGTATGGTAGCAGCACAAAAACAGATACAAAGATCAATGGAACAGGATAGAAAGCCCAGAAATAAACCCAAGCACTTATGGTCAATTAACCTACGACAAAGGAGGCAAGAATATACAATGGAGAAAAGACTGTCTCTTCAATAAGTGGTGCTGGGTAAACTGGACAGCTATTGTAAAAGAATGAAATTATAATGTTCTCTAACACCATACACAAAAATAAACTCAAAATGGATTAAAGACCTAAAAGTAAAACCAGATACTATAAAACTCCTAGAGGAAAACATAAGCAGGACACTGACATAAATTGCAGCAACATTTCTTTGGATCCATCTCCTAGAGTAATGAAAACAAAAGCAAAAATAAAAAAAATGGGACCTAATTAAACTTAAAAGCTTTTGAACAGCAAAGGAAACCATAAAACAAAAAGACAACTTACAGAATAGGAGAAAATATTTGCAAATGATGCGACCGACAAGGGATTCATTTCCAAAATATACAAAGAACTTATAAAACAACCCATCAAAAAATGGGCAGAAGACCTAAATAGACATTTCTCCAAAGAAGATACACAGATGGCTACAGGCACATGAAAAGATGCTCAACATCACAAATTATCAGAGAAATGCAAATAAAAACTACAATGAGATACCAGCTCACACTGGTCAGAATGGCCATTATCAAAATATCTACAAATAATAAGCTGGAGAGGGTGTGGAGAAAAGGGAATCCTCTTACACTGTTGGTGGGAATGTAAACTGGTGCAGCCACTATGGAGAACAGTATGGATGTTCATTAAAAAACTAAAAATAGCATTACCATATGATCCAGCAATCCTACTTCTGGGCATATATCTGGAAAAGACAAAAACTATGATTTGAAAAGCTACATGCACCCCCAGTGTTCACAGCAGCACTATTTACAGTAGCCAAGACATGGAAACAACCTAAATGTCCATCGATAGATGAATGGATAAGGATGATGTGATGTGTGATGCGTGTATGTGCGTATGTGTATATATATATACACACATACACGCATCACACATCACACACACACACACACACTGGAATATTGGCCGTAAAAAAGAATGAAATAATGCCATTTACAGCAACATGGATGGACCTACAGATTATCATATAAAGTGAAGTAAGTCTGACAGAGAAATACAAATATCATATGATACCGCTTATATGTGGAATTTAAAAAAGGGATACAAATGAACTTATTTACAAAACAGAAATAGACTCAGACATAGAAAACAAATTTATGGTTACCAAAGGGAAAAGGTGGGGAGGAATAAGTTAGGAATTTAGGATTAACAGGTACACACTACTATATATAAAATAAACAACAAGGACCTACTGTGTAGCACAGGGAACTAAGTTCAATATCTTGTAATAACCTCTAATGGAAAAGAATCTAAAAAAGAATATATATGTATGTATAACTGAATCATTTTGTTGTATACTTGGAACACTGTAAATCCACTATACTTCAATTAAAAAAAAAAAAAAGTCAACTAATTCCCACTTACAAATGAGGGCACAGATTAGGTGAATTTTTCCAAGGTCACACAGCTTGTGAATAATATAGCCAGGATTTGAAACTAGGTCTCTGCCACTCCAAAGCACAATCTCTTCTTTTTTCACACTTTACACTCTCTCACTCTACAGCTATTCTACCTCATGCACTGTGTCTGAACAGTTAAAATAGCCACCAGAGCAATGAGAAAAATATTTAAAAAACAAATGAAATGGTAGTGACAAGTCAAAAAGTAACAAAAGATGGTGGAAGTATGGTTTTTAAAAAGGTATTGATTTTATTTAAAAAGAAAAAGAAAAAGGAATACAGGAGAAAAAACATGCATCTCCTAAGGGAATCCTGTGATGTCAGATTTCCCATAAAGTCCAGTTGGCTGGCAGGGCTGTGGCTGACCTGAGCCCATGCTGCTTCCCTCTCTTGCTTGGGGGATCTGACACCTTCCTCCACTCACACCCATTTATCATGGCAGAGTCTTCTAACTATGGCCACTGTAGTAAGAAGGTTGTGCTCCTCTGAGATGCCCCCTTTTAGGCTTGCTCGGGAAAGCTCTCTGGTTTATGCAGACTTTGGCCTGTGACAGTGATTGGTCTGTGCCAAATCTGATCTAAGAGGCCTTAAGGGCTGCCCAGTTGCTTTTCAGCAAATCTTAGTAGACACAGAAAGAATAGACAAAAGAGGCAGAAGGCTCTAGTTCTGGATACAGGTTTCCCCTCATTGGAGCCCTGCTGCTCTTGGGGAGAGAGTTTGCATCCATTCACGAGTTAAACATTTAAATGTACAACTTACATAACTTCATGATGTGAAGTTTTGCTATTATTATTATTCATTGGTGTATTCACTGTGTAATGTGGCTCTGCTGAGTACAAGTAGGTCCCGTGCTAATGACTGGTGCTCTGGGCTTGGCTGCTGGAGTGGGAACTGCAGGACATGGATGGTGCTCCCTCTTTTCCTGCTCCTCCCTTGGGACAGGAAGGCACTCCACTCCTGCCTGGCTTTGCTGGTCTTCTAGGAGCCTGTACCCAAGACAGAATGATGGATGCTTCCTTCTGAACACTGCTGCCACCCACCCAGTTGTGAGTAGGCCAGAATGTCCTTCAAGTCCCTCCGAGGCCCAGGGCTTTCCTGACAGGATTTATTGATCTTTCATTGCTCTGAGAGCTCCATCTTTGTAACTCCAGGGCACTTACAGAGTGCCTGGTTCACAGGAGACGCTCAGGAAATGCTTGAAAAATAAAAATATACATTTCTGATCTATACACATGATGTATATATGTATGTACATGTACATATTTATATATTTATTTCTGGCATTTTTCTATAGAGCAATTGCAATAAAATATCTTAGGCTTGCATAGTATGTCATGGTTTACCAGTGCTTTAACAACAGCAATAGTACTAAAAATGGTTAACAGAATAACAATCCTAATAATAGCTATCATTTATTGAGTGCTTTACCTGCATTATTTCATTTAATTCTCATGACAGCTCACTGGGGTAGATACTATCCTGATTTTACCAAGATGAATCTGTGGCTTAGAAAATTTAAGTACCTTCACACAGGGTCACACAGCTAGCAAGTGGCAGAGCTGGGTCATCCAAACGTTGGAAGCAAGTCCAATACTCTTTTCGTAAGTAGCCTGTAGAGTGAGTGATATTTAGCTACACAGGAACCCAGTATTATCTTTCATGAAGATTTAAATTAGATTCATGTCCTGTTACCAAAAAAGGCCAACATAAAACTCTGGGAAAGCAAACAGATGAGCTGAATGATGAAAATAGACACATACCTGACATGTGGAGTGGATCGAGACCTCTGACAACCAATCTGTCTAGTGGAATGGGCTGATCGAGTACCATACATGAACCACCTTCTTTGATTGCTGTTTGTAGCTCAGGAATAAGTGAAGGGCACATTAAACCCGGGTCTGAGCCTCCAAGTTTCTAAAATTAAGGAGAAAAATAATGCAATAAGTAGGAAGTGAATATTGATGCACATACTTCAGGTACATCCTTAAGCAAACTGATTTTTAGAAACAATTGCTTGAAATACAGCTTACTATTCTTTCTGGGTCTCGAAAAGCATTTCCCAAAGTACACAGTGATTTAAAGCATAGTGTTTCTGATCCCCAGGTTTAATTACCTGAATAAATAACAGGGTAATTTCATAGCTGGGAAACATTTAAATCATTATCACATCAATGGGAAGATCCCTCTATGGTACTGAGTTAACTGAACAAGAGAAGCCTCATGTCGGCCAACTCTGTCCGTGGGGTCCTTATACTAAAATCTAAATAAATAAATTCCATGCTCTATGATTCGTAAATAACTGAAATTGTTTTGAATATATAAAATACTGAATTTTTTAAAAAAGCGTGTCAGAGATTGGGATGTACGTGAAGTAATTTGTGCATTAAATAGTGAAGAGAAATTTAAAACAGATAACATTCCTTATTTCTTCTTCCAAAGAAAAAATGAAACCTGGTGTCTTCTCCGGGTGGTTCTCTCAGATTTAGCAGACGGAAGAATTTAAAGAGGAATTTTAAACAGATAACATTACTTATTTTGGAATCAAGTTGTGAAGCATGAAACCAGAACATTATCTTATAACATGGCCAATAATGGGCTGCCACTAGTTCATGGGCTCTGAGTTGTGCCATCATGTAAAGAGAAGGTAAGCGGTGCTTAACGTCAGGTTTTAGAAGGGGACAGAGATTTTTCAGAGCTTGCCTGTCAGACATGCTAGCCTGGGTAGCTGAAAATAAGAGGCCATCCAACTTTCAAAACTGTGACTTAGTATTCTCCAACACCCATTCCCCCCTCAACCACTGATCAACTATGCACGGATTAATGGGTGTCTATTTTATTGCTTAAAGACACTTAAATTATTTAGCTCAACTAACCAACATGCCATCTAAAAGCTTAGGTTATTAAAAGATCTGAGAGATCTAGTCTCATTATCTTACATCTGTGTAAGGCTAGTCGTTTAGTAAAGAAGTGAGTGGGTTAGAACAACATTAGTTATCTCCGACAGCCAAAAACATACTGCAGATCCTCTTCCCATCTCTAAGGGCAGGTGTCTGAGGGCTGTAGAGGAGGCCTCTTCCTGAAAGCACTCACACACACCAGTCAGGGAAACTGTGAAATGGGACATTAGATAGAAAGCCTTTGGTGGACCATGAGACCCATGGCTTAACGGGGAGTAACAACAGTAATGGTAACCATTAATACTTAAGGGAGAAATCCCTATTCTTAGAAGGGATTTTGTGGCTCTAGCCCCTGGTGACTCGTTTTTTTCCTGTGATGCCAACTGTACGTTTGTTTGGCTTCTGCAGTTCTTAATTATAGGCAGACACTGAGAGACCAGGGCTCCTTCCCACCTGCAGCCCCCAAAGCATTATTTCTCAGGAAGAACGTGAGAAGGGGTGGTGGATATCACCTCAGCACTTGGCAGCAGACGGTTTAGAGAGGCCCCCTGCTCTGGCAGCTTTTGTTGTGATAGTCAATTTGGATGAGGAAAAGGCGGATATGGACAAAAGTATCTTAATTTTATTTGCTGAGGCAGGTCAGGCATAAAGTCCTGTGGCTTCTGGGACTCTCCTCGAAAGTATACAGACTAAGTCATTCTAAAAATATACACACCCTTTGACATCCTTAAGAAATGGGACTTGCTTTTGTTACTGTTTTCAGTCCAGCACTCTACGATGGAAAAAGCCAGTATTTTAAAATGCCTCCATTTTTTAGAGGGTAAAGTCCGATCTGATGTATAAGAAACTTTTCTCTTTTTAACTCAACTTATTCAGAAATATTTCTAAACTCATTTAGCAGAATTATTTAGAGACAACAGCATTTTACCTTTTTGTTGCGCTTAGTTTTCGTAACTAAGAGGAAATCATCAAAGAGAAACAGATAAACATCTAGGAATCTTGTGCTTTCTGAGGAAAGAAAGAAGATGAAATTGGGGCTGGAAAGAGTAAGCAGAGTTTTTTTTTTTCTTTCTTTTTAAATCAAAGAATCCCTTAGAAAACAACACAGGCCGGGGATCAGGGCACACGAGGCTTGCAGCTCAGGGGGCTACAATCACGTGGGTCAGAAAACTGCATTATGGTTGAACTGATTTCTCCCCAAGGCAGGGACTTGATGTGAGCCCACCCTTCCAACTTTAAAGACATTGTATTTGTGAGGCATTTCATGTGGATCTAAGGTTACCTGGATGATATCTGTCGTGGTTTCAGCTAAGCCTAGGACATATCTATTGACTAACAGAACTCCAGCATTTTGGCCTCTTGACTCATCTGTGTGGTCATTGGCAAAGGTATACATTACCAGAAAAAAAGGCACTTTGTCATAGCTGTGGACTGAATTGCATCTCCCCCAAATTCTATGTGGAAGCCCTACCCCCTCCCCACTGTGTATTTGGAATAAGGAAATAATTAAGATTAAATGAAAGCTTAAGGGAGGACCCCTGATCTGACAGGGTGAATGTCATCCCCAGAGCATGCTCTCTCCCTCTCTCTCTCTCTGCCACGTGTGGACACTGAGAAAGCTGGAAAGAAAGCTTTCACCAGAAACTGAATCAGCTGGCAACTCGACTTGAACTTCCAGCCTCCAGAACTGTGAGAAATAAATGTCTGTTGTTTAAGCCACCCAGTCTGTGATATTTTGTTATGGCAGCCCTAGCTGATTAAGACAGTCACTAAAACAATTTGTTTCTTAAGTTTTACAATGTGTCTATACAAGCGTTAAATAATCTTCATGAAGCTTTATATTTAAAAATATATTTCTGATATCACTTTTGATAATAACTGAAGGCAAACAGGCTTTTCTACTTTTCCCTAAGAAGGGGATACTCGTAGAAGAGAAATAAAATATTAGAATGAGATATCCCCCTCTCAATTTAACTCTACCCCTTAGAAATTAGAAAAAGAAATGGTTAGTGAAGTCAGAAAGAGAAAAACAAATATCGTATATTAACGCATATATGTGGAACCTAGGAAAACGGTACAGATGAACCAGTTTGCAGGGCAGAAATTGAGACACAGATGTAGAGAACAAACGTACGGTCACCAAGGGGGGAAAGTGGCAGGGCGCTGGTGGTAGTGGTTGGATGAATTGGGAGATTGGGATTGACATATATACACTAATATGTATAAAATTGATAACTAATAAGAACCTGCTGTATAAAATAATAAATAAAATTTTTAAATTAAAAAAATAAAATTAAAATTTTTTAAATTAAAAATTTAATTTTTAATTTAAAATTAATCTGACAAAGGTTACCCTTTCTAAAAGTTCCCAAAATAGTAATTTATATTAGCATACCAGAAAAAAAAAGAAATGGTTAAATTTAAATGATTTTAGAGGAACAGGCAGTCCTTGAGGGGGATGTGACAGGCACTTAAAGTACAAGAAAAATCAGTAAATATTTTTTATTATTCTATTTTATTTATATTTTTCTAGAAGTTCTTTCTCATATACATTTACCTGTGGAAACAAGACGTCTAAGGTTAAATTAATAAATAAAATATCTGGGATTCATTTTTAGTCTAAGTTTAGAGGAAAGATACTTTCTGTATTTACATAGAAGAGAAATTAGATATTTTATTCAATCTTGAATTGTCCTTGAATAGTTTTTTTTTAAGGTTTTCCATCACTACTAGAAACTCCTTTTTGCAAACTGGGCTGCAGCAAAGACTGCTGGTTGTCCCTTAAAAACCATTCTTCCCTTCTTTTGTAGTAATAACATTTCCAAGTTTTAGTGGGTAGACGCTCACTGTGAATAAATACTACATCTCCCAGCTTTCCTTGTAGCTAAATATGACCAAGTGACTAAATTCTGACCAATGGAATATGAGCTAGAACGTAGGCACACTGGTGACTCATCTTGGGGCCACAGAAGAAAGCAGTCTCTAGGATGGCAGAGCAAAAGGACATAAGAAACCCAGATCCCTTGTGGCTTCATGGAGTAAAGCTGTCATATAGCTCAGAATTTTACATGCGAGATAAATAAACCCGTCTGTCTCCAAGAGCTGGCTTAATATCCTAACTAACACATAGGGTGAGGAATGGGGCTAGACCTTTAAGACCTGTTAAATACTGCTTTCCTCACCCTCTGCCACTCCTATCTGATTAGGTGAATGATCATTGTCAAAATGAAATAGCTTTGTTTTCTCCTTCTAACTTCAAGTATTTTAACAAACAGGTATGAGCATCTTCTATGTCCTAGACTTCATTCTAGGAAATGATGATTATTTTAGCTACCGTTTATTAAGGCCCTCGTTTTCCACCAAGCAGTCAACAAATACTGAGCACCTCCTATGCATCGATGATTAAGACAAAATCTCTCCTTCAAAGAGCTTTAATTATAGTGAGAGCAGATACATAATAAACAGAAACAAGATTTAAGATAAATTCAAGAACTGATAGTGCTAAAGTAAATATGGGATTATGAAAAAGGACGACTAAGGAGGAAGACTGTAGGCATAAAGTTAGAGTATGCACATTTATTATCTCAGGTGTTTCAAGCTATGTGCCACACAACCAGATCTGAGACTTACAAACGTGTGCAGTTCTAACTCGATTAGGTCTTTATTTTTTCTCAAAGAGTCTGGCCTGTGGGGTTTTCATCACACTGCTAGAGAACAGAGCAGCATCACTGACTTATTCTAGTTCTGCAGCAGCTTGAACAACGTGTGTTCTCTAGGTGCTACAGCTGCTGTGCCATCCTATTTGTCTGAACGTTACCTCTTTTTCTATTTAGAAATACCAGTCTGTGGGGAGTAATGCATTTGTGAAGGGCGTGCTGGCATGAATTCCAGTGGGAAGCTGGTTATGCTCCAGAAGTTATAAAAACTTGGACCTTCTGGGAATGAGAAAATGCACTTAATTTCAACACTACAGTTTTTAAGGCTAGAAGAAATTTGAAACATATTAAGCGGTAGATACCATCGTCATGGTTATCACTATCACCATCATCATCATCAACATTTACAGAAGAGATTAAGAGAATTTAAACAATTTCCCCAAAGCCCACAGTTGGGGCTAGACCCCCTAATTCTTGGTCCAATGCTTTTTCCATTCAAAATGATGTCCTGTTTCTTTTAACACTATTACCCCCACCGACACCATATCTCTATGCCAACTCCGAGCCAAAGTCCCAGTGACTTTAAACTTGATTTGACACTACTATATGACACACCCCCCTCTGATGAAATCTGACTGACAGCATGTGCTGTCAGACAGGAGCCTGGTGTTAGTAATGGTTACGTAGGTCATCCCCATTCTACCACATCTGACTCTACAAGAAACTTTTCCTGAAAAGTTGGGTTGAACCATAACGACTCCTTCTTAGGCCAGTCTCCCACCCATGCTTCCATGACAAGCACCCCCATCCCACTTGCTATGTGAATACACATCTGACACGGCTTTTCACCAAGAGATTTTTCATGGTCATGTTCATCCAGCCTCTACACGGCCTCCCATCACGTCCACACCTGAACGCTAAAACGGACTCCCTGACCCACTCCCTCCGCCACCCTCAGGGTCATCTACCAACCTTTCAGGTAGATAGATAAGCACACTTGAAGGTCTTCGACTCATTTCCTCTTCATTTTATCAATCGTAAAGCTCTCCTATTTTTGCTTTTGAAATAGCTCTCACATTTATCCTTTTTGATCCAAGCCCATTTCTAACATTTTAGGATAGGCTGGTGGGTCTCACAGTTGGGAATTTGGTAGATAGAGGGAAGAGGGGAAATAAAATCTCTGATGATTCCAGGTGGAGGCCAGTTTTGCAGGGACAGGCACAGGATTGTACACAGAACTGTGTCTTGCTTCATGACTTTTGGTTTTGGTTGGATCTGGCTTTGTCACAATGATATAATTAGTTTTGAAATTGTAAAAGAAAGGGTAAGATTGTTATCTTTCCAAACGAAAGTGGGAGGGGAGTGGTCTACAGGTGGAGAATGGTTGAGAAACACAGGCCCAGGCTCTTCCCACCCCATCCTGCGTCACTGTGACACCCTCAGGCTGGCCTCTCTGCTTTGGTCTCCTCTTCTAGCCATTTTGGGCATTGCTTCCCATAGCTCTTTCTCCAGCACCCTTTTAAGCCTCTCACGTCCCCGAGCGCTCAGTGGCTTCCTGTTGCCTGCAGTGTCCTGGCTGGGTCCCTCTGGCTTTCAGGGCAGTGGCTATGTTTCTGGAAGCCTGCTAGGGTGAGGCAGCCTGGCCTGGGTCTGGATGCTGCCATTAGCTTGCCAAGGGACCCTGAGCATGACAGACAACCTCCCCGAGTCTCCCCTGTGACATGGGATAAAATGTAACTTCTCTGCATAAGTCACTGGAAGGAAAACACGCATGAAAAAGCCCTTTGATGTAAAAAGCTGGGCATGTCTATCTTTCGAGTTGGCAGTTGCCTGCGGGGGTTATGTCCCAAGCTGACATCTGGCGCTGTCCCTAAAAGAGAGCAGGTTCTCAACAGGTGTGTACTGAGTAAGGAATTACTGCCTGGCACCCCACAAAAGATCTTAGGCAAACTCACATCCCACAGGGCTTCACACACTGCAGGTGCTCAATCAAGATTTTGTGAAGAAATGAAGCAATGAATGAATGCAAATCTCATTTCAGTCGGGTAGACCTTTCTGATAATATTTACTGAGCCCTGACTCTCTGCCAATGGTTCTTTCAAGTGCTTATACATCCATTAGCTCATTTAATCCTCACACCAAAGAGGGGACACTGCAGCATGGGGGGATTGCTGTTACGTGGCCCCAGGTTACACAGGCAGCAAAGGCTGAGCTGGGAAGGGAAGCTGGCAGGCAGCCTCGGGGATCTCCCTCCTAACCACCCTGCCGTGAGCCTATTCTCTCAAGTGGCTTCTGCCTCCAAGCCTTTTCTCTTGCTGTGCTTTTCATCCGGGATGTCCTACCTCCTGTCCTTTCACTGAACTACACCCTTCTATCCCCCCGAAGCCCGCCTCCAGTCCCATGGACCACATGAAGCCTTTCCTGGGTACTCCAGCATCAGACTCTCTTCTGGACTTAGACTGCAGGTCTGCTCCTTATGGCAGCGCTTCCCAACTAGAGGGAAAGGATTATCCAGAATAGTGACTTTTCTATCCTCCAGTGGTACCTACACAATGCAACGTGTGTTACATAATAGGTTCTCAGTCAACACTGAGAGTATGATTGCCCAGCTCACTGGAGGAGTAAAATGAGGGTGGTAACAGCTAACATTGAGTGGTTACTATATTCCAGACCTTGAGCTAAGCTCTTCACATATGTTACTTCACTTTAACATCCAGCTTGTAAGACAGATATCGTTATCCTATTTTACAGAGAGAAAATGGAGGGCGTGTGGCTAGTTACGTTGTGGTTTGATCAAGCTGGAGTCTGTGTGACTCCATAGGATGCTCTCTGATTCACATCTTCCATTGCCTTGGCCATACGGAAATACAATTCTTGCCACCCTTCGATAAGCAACAGTTGGACAAGTCACAAGGTAGCAAAGATGTTGGGTTTGTAAAGGGAGCAGTTATTTACCTGCAAGAGTTAATTTTCCTTCATAGAGAAGGTGTCTGTTGGTTGCTGACAGGATGTTTTCTGCCACGTGTTCTTTAAAAACGTGTTTCAGGCACTGGCAAAACAAGGGAGGAAATCAAAGAGATGTTGTTAGTGATTGGAGGACAGCATATTCTAGAAGCTGGGGCAACGTACTCTGTCTAGAAAGTTCCTGACATTTGGAAATGCCAGTAAATGCACATGGGAATGGGAAAGAATGGGAAAGAATGGGAAACATGCTTAGAAGGACCAGTTCAGGAATGGCATGAGGAGGTCAGCCTCCCCACACACAATGTCATGTGGATGAAGGCTTTACTTCTTGCTAGATTTTTAATTCTAGTGGGCAGCTGGGGACTTTGTAAGACTAGTATACTTCCACTTGAATGCCAAATGTTTAGAAAGGGACATAGGTTCTAATTGATCCTTTCTGTACCTCTGGAATGAAAAACCTTTCATCTCTATCCCAAAGTGGAGGCCACACTATAATCTCCTGTAGATGTCTGCAGTTTTGAAAATTGTCAAGCCACTTCACTTTTCCTTCAAGATCCCCCGAAAGACAAGACACATCCAGTATATGTTTAAATGCATGAGGCATTACAGCATAAAATTTAACCAAGATCCACAGGAATCATTTAGAGATACTGACCGCCCCTGGAGCCAAACCATATCTTAGGTTCATTTAACATATTTCTTGCTGTTTAAATGCCTTAGAAAAACTCACTAATTTGAAATCAGCCTCTTGCAGAGAAAAATGAAGCTGAACTAATTTAACTCAGTAAGTTGGAAATGTATTGTGCATTTTTATTTCAATAATACTAACAGTTCCCTTAGCTTTCTCATATTCCCTACATCACACAGCTTGTGATTACAGGAAGGAAAAAAAAATCAGACTAACAAGGACAAACATATCCTTTTGTCTTAATCATAAAACATATATTCACTTTATGGTAAGGTTGATTATTTCTTTTGGTAAGAACTCATTTTCTCTTTGAAGGTCTATATTAATCTTCCAATGTTTTTTAATAACATATTGCTATTGAGGTTTTGAAATGGTTTTTGAAAACATGGAGGGCACGTCGTAGACCCACAGAATCACATGGTTAGGGAATCCTTGAGAATTCTCCATCTCTAAGCTTTAAAGGAAGGCCACAGGGATCTCTTTCCCCAACAATGAGAATTCATTTTATTGAGAAATTCCTAGAAGAGATGTTATCTCCCTCACAAACTTATCAAAATGAGTAATAATCTGCAAAATTACTTTAAAAGTTTAAAAAAGTCTGTCTTTAACTGAATTTTTTGTCTTAATCACTTGATAAGCTGAATTCTAGTTCCTTGGGTTATTTTAGAATTTCAACAAAAAATTTTTAAAAAGGAAAGAAACTCCTAAGTAAATGGTCATTTTATTTTTAAACATGCAAAAGAAAAAGAAATATGTCATTTCTGTACAGCTGATAATCATCATTTTGAATTGTTCCCTTTTGATGCTCCCCAGGAAATCTTGGTTTATGGACATATACCACGAACTTCTTTATTTGAATTTGATTATACAGAGCTACCCAAATAAACTTAAGTCATCACAGGGCTTTCTCTTTTCCTATTCCCAAATTTCGGGTCTAAAGATTGCAGTTGGCATTGTATTTAGATTGGCCCTAGACTTCAGTGACCTAAAAAAAATGACGGATGGTAATTTATTCTCCGGAAAGGCTTCCCATGCTGTTTACTCCCATTTGCTTTGTGTGTGGGTTCAGTATGGATGTTAAAAACAAAGTGGCTTCATCATCTGGGAAGTAGAACTTTTCCTGCCTGAACTCACATCTGAAAGCCTTGGAGACGGGGCCACGTCCTGCGTGAACTTGGAGTTAAGAGTTCTCATAGGGTTCGCCAGGATGTGACTGGAGCCCATTGTTTTGAGCGTGTTTGATTTACAATGCAAACTCAAACTGGAATCCACATTTCGGAAAGCCATGACCTCAAGGCAATGGAATTACCTCCTAGGATGGAAGCCCAAATGGTTCCCAGGAGCCAGAGGGTCCCCCAACTCTTTGATTAAAGCTGACACTGGAGCTCTGGGTCACTCATCTCAGGGACTTACAGATTGACTTTTCCACCTTTTCCTTGATGGAGTAGATCATGATTTTCTTCGTAGAGTCTGTACTCCTTTTCCAGATGCTCTTCAGCAACAAGGGGTATCGAGTCAGCCTGTGTAGTGGGGCCACTAGGAGCTCAGGTAGGTGAAGGCGTCTACACTGTTCATTGTCCTCACACCACTGGGGAAGGCAAAAGCAGCTGGATCAGAACATCACTTCTCCTGTCAAGACACTGAGAAGTCCGGACACAAGAAACCCTTAGAGATTTCACTCAGTAATGACATGACACACCTGTGAGCTTGCTAGGAAAATTTATAAGCCATGGACTAGACTTTGCTTTTGAAAATTCCATATTAAATTGTCTTAGCAAGCATCTATCTACCAGTACTAAATTCAGGGTCTGAAATGGGTTTTTTCAATGTGCTTAAGAAGTATTATTGAATATTACTGACTGAAACATTGCTGCTTTCCAATTAAAGAAATGAAAGAATCTTCCTTCAGATATCTTGACTTCCCAGCAATGGTGATGAAGGACGAGGTCATCAGCACCACCTATAACACCACCCCCTCAATCCTCCTAAATGGGGAAACTGATGTCAAGATTTGAATGCACAGGAAAAGTCTGAATTTGGTTAAATCCCCTAGAAATTGCATACTCCATCAGTGGCCGTGTAAGATGTATTAATACACATATTTCAGGCTTGTTTACCCTTGTCACTGAAGAGTTTAGTTTTGCCCCTTGCCTTCTCCTTTTCCCTGGCCCTTGGGGGAGATTTCTGGTTTTGCCAACTGTGCTCCCACTCTTGCTGCAATGCAGTTAGGAGAACTGAGAGTCAACACTACACAGGTAGACAGGAAAAGGAAGGATTTTTGCTTCGTGGGTCAGTTCCTTGACTCCTTTGTTGGAGGGAATCAGGATAATGAAGAGAAAATGAAAATAGAAGTTGAGGACGCTAAATTGTTCTACATGATATAGAAAAGAGAGGAGAGGGAAAAAGACGTAGACAATTGTCAATAGGGAGAGTTTGTTCAAAGAGGCAGTTGCCAGGAGTACACACAATGGGGAATACATGAAAGGAAACTTTAGTAAGTATTGCTATGGGTGATACATTGGATTTCCATAAATGGTATTTTGAGAAATGCAAGCAACATGAGAATAGCTCCTCCATTTGTTTCATCTGCTGGACTGTTTCTTTGAATGTGACACCGTTTGAACCTGAGGGGTCCCAGGGCTTTGTGCAGGTGACACATGACGCCTGGAGCCAGGTCTGTGGCTACTGCACACACAGGTACATCAAGAAGTATTATTAAGAGTGTGTTCACTTCCTCTTCTCTCCTCCCACCTGCTCACACCATTCTGGTCCTGAGTTCAGCTCTAAATGGATCCTGCTCTCACACTAAATATTTTTCTTGCTGCGGGCTCTCGCCTCTTCCCTCTTTCATGCTCACTTCAGGCCCAGGTTAAGTCCTGACCCTCATGACCCAGACCCTCAAGACCAACCTCAGGTAGGTCAATGTACAGTCGGTTCTACTATCTGTAGGTTCTGCATTCTGAAATTCAACGAACTGTGAACTGAAAATATTTGGGGAAAAAAATTCCAGAAAGTTCCAAAAAGCCTGAATTTGCGGCACAGCAGCAACCATTTACATAGCATTTCCACTGTATTTACAATATTTACATAGAACTTACCTTGTATTAGGTATTACGAGTAATCTAGAGATGATTTAAAGTATACGGGAGGATGTGTATTGGTCATATGCAAATACTATACCATCTTATATACGGGACTTGAGCATCCTCGGACTTTGGTATCTGTCGGGGTTCTGGAACCAATACCCTGTGGATACAAAGGGACGACTGTGCACTGCGGAAGGCTCCCTCTGCTTTCCCAAAGATATCGTCATACATCTTTATGCCCAGGTGTCAGCCCTTGCATTTCAGAGAGGTCGGTACAATTGGCTCAAACCTCCAACAAGTCCAAAACTCTCTTAGATAGTTATAAAGAGATATTCCAATGGCTTCTTCTGGCCCCTGGGCTCCTGTTTGCACACATTCTGTTTCTTCGCTGAACAGCATGGGCCAAATGCCACACTTAGGCCTTTGGTAGGTTTCCTGTGTCGGTTTCCACTGTAAACCCACTCATGCCAAACATTTTATGAGTGTATGTGTTTATTTTACTGAAGATTTCAGATCATGGGGAGGGCTCACAGCCCACAGTCACCACCCACCACCCCATTTTGCTGGCTCCATTCTCTTCTTTGAAAGGAGAGAGCTCTCTCTCTCTTTCCTCTCCAACTTTCCCTTTTCTCTCCTAGCCTTGTGCTTTGCAATTTGTCCTGGTCTTTCATAGCCTGACCATGTCCCTGGAGGGTCATACCCTCCTACACTAGCAGCTTTATCACATTTCTTTTAAAAACATCCGGGACTCTTCCTTATAGGAGTTCTGCCGGGAGTGATCTTTCCCACCACCCCACCTACAGATGGCAGGTCAGAAAGGTGCATGGAGGATGGAGCTCTAGGGGCCAGGCTTCAAGGCGGAGGGACCAGCCCCCCGTCTCTGCACCTCAGATTCTTCTTTAAAATGGGGAATGGCACTAGATGACTTCCCCTCATCCAGCTCAAAATGGCTGTGATTCTCATTGGGGCTGGAAGGGATGAAGGGAGCAGGGACTGCAGACGTGGAAAGGCTGGAAGTGGGGAGGAGTGGAAAGAGAAGGTGTGGAGAGGCTGTAGTCTGTGGGCTTAGTGGCTGATTTCCATGCTGAGTCACTAGCAGCAGCATTCCAGCACTACCTGCTGGTCCTTGTGGGAGGCTGGGGAGTTCCAGTAACTGATTTCTCAGCAGCAGTTAGGGATTCCCTCAAAACACACAACCCTGAGCCACTGCTCCAAATTTCCATGTTGTAGGGAACAGCTCTGGCTGCCAGTACCCACCGGTGTTCAGGGTAACTATAAAAACACCTAATCTCCCCCACATATCAATCAGAAAAGAAACACCAGTGGTAAATAATTCAGACAAAGATCCAGGCAGAGATACTGGAAGCTTTTAGTGTTTTGGAAGGTCTCAGAAGAGCAAAAAAAGAGATATTTGATGATTCTAAAAGTAAAACTATAAGTTTTTTTTTCATCTCTCTATTGGCTTTACTTTTCAGAAACATTAGGAAAAGAAAAAAAATTCTGTCATGAGAGATTGGACATAAAAGTACTTTTCGTGGATAGGTCTAGATCAATGGACTCTGCATCAGTTTTATAATAAATAAATCTATAGGTGGGAGATCAAGATGGCAGAATAGAAGGACATGGAGCTCAATGACGCCCACAAATACATCAAAAATACATCTATACGTGGAACAACTCTCACAGAACACCTACTGAATGCTGGCAGAGGACCTCATACAGCCAACACTGCGAGAAAGATCACCGTGTAACCAGGTAGGACAAAAGAAAAAAAAAAGAAAGCAGGACGGGACCTGAACCCCTGGGAGGGAGCTGTGAAAGAGGAAAGGCTCCCTCACCCTGGAATCTCCCTTCACTGGCTGGGAGATCAGCTGGGACAGAAAGGGAGCTTCAGAGGCTCAGAGGAGAGTGCAGCAACCAGCTTACAGCTGGCAGAAGAGAGAGACACCAGCACACCTGGTCCTGGCCACCTTGCTGCACTCCCCAGCCCAAGACATGTATCTCCTGGTATGAGTGGAGGCTGGGTGCTGAAACGTGGGCTTCAGTGGACAGAGCTGGGGAGAGGACTGGGGGTGGCTCTGTGGAGAAGCTGGAGGGGCTGGAGTGTGGCCTGGGCTGCAACTGGGGCTGTGTGCAGGATGAAGCCTGGGTCCACCAAAGCAGCCCCACTGTTAACAAGCCCTTGAAGGGAGGAGTGGGGCCCCGCCAGAGCGGCCTCACCCGCACAGTGCTCGAAGCGGGCAGGGCTCCGCCTCTACGAATTCTGTGCCAATGGATCGGCGCTGGTGGCCTTGTGAGCACAGCACCTGAGGGACATCCAGCCTGACTGCCTGCATTCCCATGGCTGAGGAGGACCTGAGGGCAGTGCCAGCAATGGTGTACTTTCTGAGCACACAGAGTGGGTGACAGATGACACCACAGATCGCACTTGCCGGTGGGCAGCTCCTGAGGAGGAATACTCAGTGACTCCCAGTGGGAGTGCTCCAGTACCGCCTACCTCACACCACAGCTCAGAAACAGACATGGGGGCTTCCACCCCAACAACTGGGAAGCAGACCCTGTCCCAACAAGGCTGTGACAAGCACAGAGCAAAGAGGAGGCCCCACTCAACTTCCAGTGCAGGCTCTGGTCACCACAGAAACAATAAGACCCCCTATCAAGGGGATAACAACCAGCATACATGGAGGAAAGACACGGCAGGCATCCATACTAACAACAGCCCTTGCACCAAAAATATGAGACTTGCATAGACTACAAAGAGAGGCTTTCATGTAAAAACAGCCCTTCAAGACCACAGTACATAACTGTTTCTCCTAAATAAATGGAGTCAAAGAAATATAAGCAAAACAAAGAAGCAGAGGAGAGTCATTGACAGGAAGACACTGGATCTCACCAAAAAAGATACCCCACATCCAAAGAAAGGAGAAGCCACAATGAGGTGGTAGGAGGGGCACAATCACAATGAAATCAAATCCCATAACTGCTGGGTGGGTGACTCACAAACTGGAGAACACTTATACCACAGAAGTCCACCCACTGGAGTGAAGGTTCTGAGCCCCACGTCAGGCTTCCCAACCAGGGGGTCCAGCAATGGGAGGAGGAATTCCTAGAGAATCAGACTTTGAAGGCTAGCAGGATTTGATTGCAAGATTTGGACAGGACTGGGGGAAACAGAGACTCCACGCTTGGAAGGCACACACAAAGTAGTGTGCGCACTGGGACCCAGGGGAAGGAGCAGTGACCCCACAGGAGACTGAACCAGACCTACCTGCTAGTGTTGGAGGGTCTCCTGCAGAGGTGGGGGGTGGCTGTGTCTCACCGTGAGGATAAGGACACTGGCAGCAGAAGTTCTGGGAAGTACTCCTTGGCGCGAGACTTCCCAGAGTCTGCCATCAGCCCCACCAGAGAGCCCAGGTAGGCTCCAGTGTTGGGTCACCTCAGGCCAACAACCAACAGGGAGGGTACCCAGCCCCACCCAACAGCAGTCAAACGGATTAAAGTT